GAGATTTACTACTAATCACAGAACCGGCTTTACTGACGAGATAAGCATGAAAATCGCATTCGATATTTTGCACAGCCCTATCATCAACTAATCCTGGAAAAATGTTTTAACGGTTTCAATGACGATAAATGTTTCTTGAGCACCAAATCAGCGTATTAGAATGATTTCTGAAGGATCATGTGAAGACTGGAGTATCGGCTGCTGAAAATGCAGTTTTGCGATCACTGGAATAAACGGCAGATATAAAATATACTAAAATAGAAAACTGTAATTGTAAATTGCAGATATAATTCACAATGTAACCATTCTTACTGTACTTTTGATCAAATAAATATAGCCTTGGTGAGCTTAAGAGACTTCAAACATCAAAACAATCTCACCGACCCCAAATGTACTGTGTGTGTGACTACACGGAATGTGATCTGGTTATACTTTTTGTCTTTCTGGATTAGGGAGCCATTTCGGGTGCATTCTTCCCAAACTATTTCTCTCAGGGAGAGATTGATGAGCAGCTGGCATCTAAGGAACTTTCTGGAAACGATCCAAAGACCACCATTATGGTACCAGTGTCTCCAGTTACAAAAGTCTGTCAAAAAACTACTGTCATTGTGGAGCAATAGTTTCAAATGAATTTTGTAGAGCAATTTGGATTAAAAAAAAAATTTGTATAGCTAGCTAGATGAATAACACAACTGGTTTAATGCAACAGATTTTGAAGGTAACTTTAAGGTAGTAGCATTTTAAAGGCGCCCCCTTTAGAACCAGAACTGGTACCTCAGACTTGCAATGAATTGACCAATTATTTGTGTACTTGTGTAGATTATGTCTCTGGCCTAATGCCTTTTCTCTCTCTCAGATTAGGAATTTGCCTCCATTTGCATTCCTGTGCTATAAGCAGCTGCAGTCACTGTTCCGTCAATGTGGACAGGTCAAATCAATCTGTTTCGATGGATCCAGGTAACTTACATAAACGCAGTGTGCTTTGTATGAAAGTCTGTTTTTGCCACAGAATAATTAAAACACTTAACTTTTTATCTTGTAATTCTGAATTTATATCATAATATAATTTCAATTTTGACTTAACATTTTAAAATTCAGATTTTTATTTCCTGGAACATCAAGTTTATCTTGCAGTTCAGTCTTTCTTTCTTTTGCATATCACTAAGTTTTCTGGCAGAGATAAGGCAAATGATAACATTGCAATTCAAGACTAGTGGAGTCACGATTTGTTATTGATGTAATATTGTTTGCCAAAGAAATCACTTGGGTGCATTGGGCGTGCAATATTGTAATTTGTGATATCATGCCTTAATAGGAATGTGAAATGGAATATTCCTATTAAAGCATTTCTTGAACTAAATATGCATTTTGTAATACAAACAAGTCCTTTCATCAACAAAATTAGGTGCCTCTTAAAAGAGATACTGTATATACTTTTATCAAAATAAAGCTTTCTTAGGGAAAAAAAAGTCAGTGTTGCAAAATGTTAACTCAGAGTTGTAAGATATACAGTATACTGTTGGAGCAGCCGGGCACGTAACCGTTTTAAGACGCTCACGAGCAGCCGCTCTGCCATTGTGTCCCTTTATTCCATTCTGCACGGCGTCATGCGTGTTGACCTGCACATCTCTACGGAGGCGGGCGATGTCAGTGTGGCAGACCTTCTGGTGCAGGAGGGATACGCCTGTCACGTACCTGAAAGCTTTGAGAGTCAGGTAACCATGCCGCCACCACCACAGTAATGTCCACCTGACAAGTTTTCTTGAATTAATTTTAGGGATGCACCGATATGAAAATTTTGGCCGATACCAATAACCGATAATCCTTTATTTTTGAAAGCCGATAACCGATATGTTGGCTGATAAATCTATATCCAAATTTTTATATACTTTTTGAGAGCCTGATTACAAAAAAGGTCTCATCATTAAAAACCACATCCCGAACACTTCAACATAAGCAGCCTAGTTTGAACGGTGTATGTTTTAAAAATAATTTTACTCTCCCATTACCAAATTTAGTCATAAAGTCTTACAAATAAAATAATGCATAAATAATGCAAACAAGTCATTGGACATCATTACACGTGTAAAGAATCAAAATGAATGCGCCATAGATCAATAAAACGGAATAGCCTCTGCACGGACAATAATTAAATGATTTTAATTACTAAACCATATTGCTGATGAAAATAATAACAGAAAAATACAAGTGGTTGTTATTATTAATAATAATAATAACAATGATTTAGAAAAAGTAACAAATTAATACCACTGTTTTAAACAGCAGCCGTTTGAGCTGCGCGTGCTGAAACTGAAGAGCTGAATGAATACGGTAAACTGAAGCGTTTTGCTGGCAGCTTATTTAACTCAAGGAAATGCATCCTGAGATATATACTTTTATCAAAATAAAGCTTTCTTAGGAAAAAAAAAAGTCAGTGTTGCAAAATGTTAACTCAGAGTTGTAAGATATACAGTATACTCGAAATTGCGAGCAATAAAGTCAGATTTGTGTAATAAACTTGCAATTTTAAGTCAGAATTATGAGATGTTTACTTGCAATTCTGAGAAAAAAAAGTCAGAATTGTGAGGAGAAACCTCCAATTACAAGATGTAAACTCAGGATTATGAGACAAAACGTTGCAAATTATTTTTATTTTTTTTTGCAGAGCGTATGTTGTGTTTTATCGCTCTTGTGTGAGGGAGACGGGTGTATTACCTGAGGTCTTGTTGGCACTGCTGCGAGCACGACAAACTCCAGCGCTCCAGCTGCAGGTGCACCACGCAGACGAGGTGGAGGCCCGCGCTAAAGGAAAGCCCATCACACACCTACGTTACACAAGGTAGCCGCAAGTCCACAATACACATAGACCTTATCAAAGATGCATGAAGTTTTCAAACAAAAACCTCACTTTCAGGGTTAATGTGGATGTTCAGAGCCATGCTGTGTCTCCTGTTGGAGTTCTGAGCAGCACTGTAAATCCAGAGAAACTTCCATCCAGCAGGGATTTTATCATTAACATCACAGAGGTGAAGACTAACTTCATTTTGTTTTTAAAAGATTTTAAAGGCTTTTAGAGAAATGTAGCCTAATTATGAGCAGTGTGCAGGTCATTAATGTGTATAATTGTTTGTAGGTGATCGATGTAGGCCATTTTTGGGGCTTTCGGACAGATGAGAGCAGCGTAGAGAAACAGTGTCAGTTAACAGCAGCCCTAAACATAAGAGATCTGAGACCTGTATCTGTCTCTCTCTATCCAAACCTGCTGTGTGTGGCCCCCTTCAAAGATGGACAGCAAATGGCCAAATACTATAGAGCCAAAGTACTGCACATCCTTGGCAGCAATGTAGAGGTACATGCCACACGCACACACACGTATGCACGATCACAATGTTCCAATGCAGAACAAAACAGTCATATCTTACCGGTTTTACTGGTGCTCTGTGCGGGCTGGGCTGGAACTCCGTTTCCCAAAATGCAATGCTGCCTGAACATGACATTGAGCTTGCCTTTGATGTCAAGTTTGATTTTGAGGACATCACAGAGGTATGTTTTGGTGTGTATGTGTGATATTATGCATTCAGAGGTCAGTTTTGCATGTCAGGCTTTACCTGTATAAGTAAGCAGGCTCTTAGCTAGAGTAGGTTGCATCATAAAATGTCTAGATTATGCAGTTTTAACAAATGATGTGTATGTGTAGATAAATGCTTTGAGAGGCACAGTGAACAAGCTGGTGTGTGACGGACCAAATGGCCTGACAAACCTGAGTCCTGACAAGATCAGCAGCCTTCAGGAGGAGGCCCGGGAACGACTTGTTGGGTACTCGATCACCATCCACCCTCCTCCGGAGACATTCGAGAGTCTCCATGACATGGGAATACTAACCTAGAAACATCTGTGATTCTTTCTCTTTAGACTGTTCATTAAAAACCCTCCCAGACCAGAGTGTACACCTGTGTACTATGAGAAATTCAAGAAATGGAACCAGGTATAAATCATCCATTCCTAAAGTCTTTATTTCTTAAAGCTCTTATTAGAATGAGTTCACTGGGTTCTTTACCATGTGTGTCATCAGGTGGATCGCTCCCAGCAGATGGAGCTGCAGGAGAAGGATGATGGGAAATCCAAAGGTGTGCTATTTCAGCTGCATCCAATCACCTTACTGAACATGTGAGGAGCATCATACACAAGATAATCTAGTCTCCTAGTATTGCAAAAGAGATATTGTGGGATTTTCAGTTTTAGAAGTTGAACACTGAACATCGTACAAAGTTGGACAGAGTTTAGTACAGCTGGAGCTCTGCAGTCTGACAATCAGGTGCCCTAGAGAAGGACCACAAAGCTTGTCTTTTAAACACCTACATGTATCCCTACAGTTCTGCAAAAAATTACAGTTACACATTTAATAACATTTTCAAATTATCATTGTGCTCGAATACACTGAAAAGAACAAAAAAAAAATCCACAATTCAACTCGCTATTAAGTATGTCTGTACACAGAGCCACTCTACAAGTGACAGTGAATTGAAGCGATTAATTGACATGACAGCAGAAGATTATATGACAGGCATGATTTTCATTTTCGTGTCACATTTTACAGCAGGAAATATGCACTGCAAAATAAAGCAGAGAGGAAGAGCACTGCAGCGATAGCAAATATTTACTCAAGACTGGACTTCATGCATTTAAATCAGAAGCAATGGAAGAGAGAAGCACTGTGTGTGTGTCCCTCTGGTGTACCTATAGCTCTACAATCGCCCACAAGGTGTCATTTATGTGAATCAGTGTTAGTTACTTATGCAGGGCAACAGTGGGAGTGTAGGGAGGGGTTATTGGTGCCGTTAACTAACTTGATGTTTTCTTTTTATTATTCTTTGAGGTGACTTTGGCCTCCTGTGTAGTTGGGATCCTTCAGTGCTGGCAAAGTTGTAGATTTTACTGGCTATAGTGTTTACTTATACAGAAGCAAAGAGTTTATTCCTTCTTTTTAGCCCCAGGAACCTTTTCTCTAATCCTGAAAAGCAAACAGAAAATTAAGCAGGTTAATAAGTAAAAAAATAAATAATAGAATTTCAATCATATCTATACAGAACTCACTTTCCCATTATCGCGTTAACCTGGGTGCGCACCAGTCCTAAGTACTGATCAATCTGTGTCTGAAAGGGAGAAAATGAGTGTGAGGATTCACCATACACACTATGGATGTCAAAAGAAAATCATTCGCAATGGAAGGTTGTTTCTGCCAAAAAAAGGATTGGATATAATTATCTTTTATTTTGTGGCAGAATAAAAAAAAAAAGACAAGATATTAACTCTAAATTGCGAGAAAAAAGTCAGAAGTGTGAGGGTTTTTTTAATCCAGTGGTGGAAACAAGTTTCCATAATTCACTACTTTTAGTTTTTTTTACTAACTGTACTTGAATAATTTATTGGATTGTTTACTTGATTCTGAATTATAGGAATAACTTCAAAATGAAAGTTGTAATCTATTGTAGCTTTTTTTTTTTTTTTTAAATAAAGTTGAATGTTTAATAGCATATTATCACTCAAAATTGATATTGAGTATCATGAAATTTCACTGTTATAGGAATCAATATCCTCAGTTCTGATATTGTGGCAAAACATGGACCCTAAAAAAAAGATGGTTGTGGGGAATGGGAAAACATTACCTGGTACTTCTCGTAAACCAGTGGCATGGTAAACATGGAAACCACCGCTAAAGAGAGAAAGACCAAGGAGAGATACAGTCAGGACAACTGAGCAGCGCTCCCAGAATGCTGTGTGATGTCACTTGATTACAGTTGTTTGAAATGATAACACCCTGACCTACAGCAGTGTGTGTGTTTGACAAGGAATTTTAAAAGGCGTGTGTACTTCAGATTTGGATGGAAATCCGACAGCAAATGCACAGCACAATAAAAACTGTTAAACATTTCTTAAATCATTTCTTCATTAAGAATCAGCACTGATATAGGAGAAAGGTTATCAACTTTTCATTTAAAATTCCAACTAGCTGACTCCATCCACTGGTTTAGAGCAGGAAAAATGTGTACTGTGTATAATAATTGTAATAATGTTTCCTTCTGTATATTTGATCAAATAAATGCAGCCTTGGCGAGCTTAAGTGACTTTTACAAAACATTTTAAAATCTTACCAACCCTAAACGTTTAAATGGTAGTGTGTGTTTGGCTGTTTTCTTACCCAGAATCAACAGGGTCAGGCCATTAAACAGAGCTCCAACATAGGTCAACAACCACATCAACACTGCAAACTAAACACACACATATAATGTCAAATTATCTTCACAGCTTTTAAATCTTTTAAATGAACACTCAGTAACTCTTCCCACTGTCTAACAAAATTAACAGCACTTATCTTTAAAATGATGTAAACCTACATGAGTTGAAGACTGCAATCATATTACTGGCCTAAAACGGCTGCTTTATTCTACATTGGGTGGACGCCACTCATGGTTTAAAATCACATGAGCCGAATGCAACCTCAAAAATGATTGGCCACTTTTGGTTCCAAAATATGCCTACAAATAGTTATTTCCTGTAACTGAAATCTTTTGTGTAATACTTCATGCCAATAGATTTCAAGACTACTGTTCAACCAGTGAAACAGAATTAGAGAGTGCACCTTTAATACTAAAGGTTATCACGAGTTTGGCTTTCACATTGAAATTGCATAAGTATCACAGAAAATTAGGGAATGAAATACTCAGGAATGGAATGTTCATCAGCTAGCATGTTTTCACCTTTATGGAATCGACCAGATCCTGAACCAGGAACAGCCTGCGAAGCTCCTTCATGGTGAAGTTGATGTACAGCTGGGTCTTATCCACATACTTACTGATCTGATCTGCAGACAGAGCGATCTCCACCTCCAGATAAGCCCTGAAAAGAGAGAAGCCATGAGAGTGAATGAACAGATTCATTGCTCAATACGTACAGAGGCGAAAGACACAAACTGAGTGTCGGACTAACTTTAAGGGGTGGCCCTCATCGGTTTTTTGCACTGCCTGCAGGACTGATTTGTAGACTCGGAAACTGATGGTGGCGGAGAGGACAGCCAGAGCGAGATATGCTATGACACTCACCACGCTGAACTGGGTTAAAGAGAACAGCAGCAGCAACAGGCTGCCGAACACCAGCCCGGACTGCTTCACATTCCGCCAATGTAACAGATCTACCACTGAAGAGGGGGAGAAAAACAAGTAGAAGTGTGATCAGAACAAGAACCATGTCCGTTCTTATGTACGTTTGTGCACAAATTTTACTGTGAGAAATTACAGCATGAACCTGATTGGTCAGCATCAAATCTACACAATCACAGGTTGCAAGTCTCTCTACACTTGTTCTACTTGATTTGCTCTGTAAAACATTATTCACGTAGCCGTCACAATTGAGCAGCTGTTTAGTATTTGTTACACTTATGTAATAGCCATTTACTCATCACTACTAAAAGAAGGTCTCATTCACTATATATGTACATGAAATAGGACATTCCTGAAGAATCAACCTTTATTTCTATAGCACTTTATACAATATAGATTGTGTAAAAGCGGCTTCACAGAGATAAACAGGAAATAACAGAAGCCATTATGAAAACTCTGCTAAGAAGATTTAGGTTCTGCTGTAAAGCAGCTCTCAAAGACAATAGTGTGTTAGTTCAGATCAATAACAGTTAATCGATCAGCTATAGGCAGCAGTGTTATTCATCTCAAATCAGTTCAGTGTTGATTTAATTTAAGTTTAATACCAGTGATTCAGCTATAAAGCAGCTCTACAGAAAAAATAATGCCACTATCCAGCTTAATTCAGTTCAAGTTTTGGCAGTCAGTGTGGTCATATAGATAAATTACTTTAAAGTTAAGTGTCTTTCAGAACCCAACTAAGCAAGCCAGAAGGCGACAGTGGAACCCTATCAGAAATTTCATTTAGTTTTATTCATTTCAATAATTGTGACTTTTACAGGTCTGGAAATAAATTTTTTTAATTCTCTTTTGAAGTTTTTTCTTGACTATTCATCATGCATTTTCCATAAAGAGAAAATGTGTAACCTTGAGGCTATATGTTTACACCTGTCTACCTCCCACAGCACCTGTTGTCAACTTATCTAACCCTAACCATCTGTGTGCACACTCATAATTTAATTATTGCTGTTGGGTAAGACAGTACAAATAGTCACGTTATCAGAAGTGCTGTAATATAATGACCACACATAAAGTGAGCTATGAGCCTTCACCATACTTGGATAAACTTCTAGAAATATAGCAGTGGAATGGAAAGATGCAAGGTTACAACTTTTATATTGCAGGTTTGGTTTTGGCAAGTGCTTGAGTATATTCACGTCAAATGGAACTGATAAAAGGCAAAACTTTAGGTTACTACCGTAACCCCGGTTCTCTGATAACATGTTCCCATAGTGAGATACCGAACAAATGTTAAAAAGAGAACCTAGTCTATGGTGAAATTATCACTCTATATAGGGGAGATACATTTATTTCTACAGCGTCACTATAGACGTGTACCATCTTAAATTACAGTGGTAATCCCCCTTGGCGCAACCTAATGTTAAGTGTCTTGCTCAAGGATCACCCCTTGCAGTTCAAACCTTTTGGTTACTGGCCCCCAACATGCATCTCACAATCATTTAGATACAAAACTGTACAACTACCTTTCAAACCTACAAAGTAGTCCCACTGTTCTCCAGGAGCAAGTCATTTACCAAGTACTGGGAGCATGCAGCATATGCATTAAACAGATTAAAACCAAGCACACTCAATGACCAAATATAACTTACAAAACACAAAACAAATGCTCTTTCCTGCTCTAAGAGCCTATCCTTACTTCAAACATTCTGGAGCTTGTATTTGCTATTGATGTGAATCTGACTGATGATGAAGAAATAACATCTTCTACTACTTATCTGACATGCTGCTTTCCGTATAATATTTAGCAGGCAAATATCAGTGTGGTAATCATTACAGTCCAGGATGCTGATTGATCAATATAGTCTCTTATAGAAGCCTCTTATCCTCATCAAAGCTGCATTTATTTGATCAAAAACAAAGTACAAACGGTAATATTATGAAATATATTATAGAAATATTTTTTGGGGAAGTCGTGGTCTAATGGTTAGAGAGTCGTCTCGTAACCCAAAGGTTGCGGGTTCGAGTCTCGTTCCGGCAGGGATTGTACAGCGCTCTCTCCCACCTTCAATACCACGACTGAGGTGCCCTTGAGCAAGGCACTGAACCCCCAACTGCTCCCCGGGCGCCGCAGCATAAATGGCTGCCCACTGCTCCCACTGTGTGTGTTCACAGTGTGTGTGTGTGCACTTTGGATGGGATAAATGCAGAGCACTAATCCGAGTATGGGTCACCATACGTCGCGTCACTTTAGAAAAGATCACAATTTAAAATACCAGTTTTTTAATTTTAATGGATTTTCAAAACGTAACTTCTTCCTGAGATGGCAAAGCTGAATTTTCAGCGGCCATAACTTCAATATTCATTGTTACATGATCCTTCAGAAATCATTCTAATATGCTGATTCACTGCTTTGCTGTTCAAGAAGCATTATGATCTAAGTTTAAAACAGTTACTGCTTAATATGTTTTGTGTATTTATTTCAGTGTTCTTTGATGAATAGCAAGTTTTATTTGAAACAGAAGACTTTTGTAACATTGTTTTTTATTGTCACTTTTGATCAACAATGCATATTGCTAAATAAAATGACCCATTTCTTAAATCTTACTAACCCCAAACTTTTGAACGGTATAGTGTATATCGCAAAAGCTATGAACCATCTGTTTGGTCAGCATTGACCTGTTAATTTTGACCCATCAATTTGGTCACCCAAAGATAATTTCTTTGCATTCTTGTACGCAAGTTCTTTCAAATTATTATGATACTTCACAACCAAGCAAGTGTGTAAGATGGTTGACAGGTTTCAAGCACTGTAAACTAGCCTAGGTCTTTCTTCTCTAACTGCTGAAGGAAAACACATTCCACCTTTCCATCACCTTTCCAGCCAGATATCACAAAGACAACACAAGTAGAACTTGTTGCCATGAGAACCAGCAGATTGAGATCTCTGAATCATCTCTTCAGTCTCTGCGGCAAGCGAGAGCTCCCTGTAACTTCTGTATGTTTTCTTTTTTTAGCATCTGCATTTTTACACCTTTTGCTGCTGCTTCAGAAGAAACCGTTACACACTCACAGAAGCTGGTCTGTCACACTCTAGCGTGTGCATGACATCTGTAGTCCCCTGTGTGATTCTCCCATCAGTCCCGCTGGGCTAAATTTAGCCTGGCAAAGCTTAGAGGAGGGCAGAAATATCGGCCATTTTTATCTCGAGATTTTTGCTCGAGCTTAAGTTCAAGATGAATTGCAGACTTCATATTCGACTGATAGTTAAACACACTGACAATTATTCTTAATAACTTCTGATGGTCTCTAATCAATACTAATGTAAAACAAAAAATACAATAACATAACTATTAAACTATAACCTTTGATGATGATACTTGCCTGCTCTGACAAATCCTTCAGTTAACCGACTCTCTAAATAGAACAAGAATAAAAATAGCAGCATTCACACTCTTTTTCCTAACACACACCTTTAAGTATTTACTTAACTAAAGCACTGATATAAGACTATTGTTTAAGGATATCCAGTAGTTAGCTGACTTAACATGGGCTATAAAATCACATATGGACACTACAGCACCACTAAATTCATATCCATCCATCAAAACCAGTTACATCTGTAGTTAATTCCATCACTATAAACAATAGTCTTAGAGATCCCTGATTTTTATTCTAAAACACCAAAGCTAGCAGAAGACAGAGAGAGCTACTGACCTGAACCACCCATGACTCAGACAGCACGAAAGAGAGAGAGAGAGAGAGACAGTGAGTGGGAACGCACACAAAAGGGGAGAGAGAGAAAGGCAGAGAATGAGAGGGAGGGGGACCGGCTCATACTACCATTGGCTAATAATGGACACACACACACACACACACATTCATACATACAGGGTGACAAATAGCCCAGACTGAAACACAAACACAGTCAAAATTCACAATTATGTGTGACCCTTTTGCAGAACCTAATTAATCCACCTTGTTTCAAACGTCCTATGTGGCGAGTGTGTGTGAGAAGAGAAAGAAAGGGGGCAGCAGCGGTTGCCATAGATACAGTGTTCCAGTTTCCTTTACACACATTGCTTAGGGGGCCAGCTTGAAATAAGATGGTGGTGGTGGTGGGGGGGTAATTGTGTGCGTGTGTGCTGGTGTTTAAATGTCGGAGTGTAATTATAGCATCAGAGATGCACATCCAGCTTGACAACCAGGCTAACATTATATCACTTCCTGAATGAAAGGTCATTGCCACGGGCAAAGGCCTATATGGAATATGGAAGTTAAATTCTAGAAGTAAAAATCAGATTAATTTTTTCCATAGGGGTTTTGATTTTTATGGATAACTTAAAACAGACTTAATAAAAACAGACTGACTGTGAGCTACAAGGTTGTTAATCAATGGCATATGCCACTAGCTGGGATTATTTCAACTTTTAAAAAAAATAATTGTGTTCAACATCACAAATCCTGGTGAAACACATTACCCATGGTTCTGCAAAAAAATGGCATCAAATTAGAAAATCAAAACAAGTTGCAAAACTTAAAGCACTGTAAATTATCTAGCTAATCTCACTACACTCTCAAACTACTTAAATGTTTGAATATGTATGCACATTTCGCAACAGTTGCAAAGTATGTTGTTTCTAGATATGCAATCAACATCTTTAAATCAATATTTCTCCATATTTTGTGTTTATTTTCATTACATTCCCAATTTGTATTTATTTTAATCATATTTGCAATGCTCCATGGGATTCTAGTTCATTCTCTCATTAAAGTTGTTAAGCACAGTCTTGTACATTTAACTTTTTATATTAAAATAATGTTTTCCTTCAAATAAAATGTTGTAATATTGTGATTCACCTTGTAGCTGTTTGGTTTGATTCATGGCTTATAACTTTTAATTAAAGACTTTTTTTAAATCCCTAAGGCAAAAATTAATGGGAACCAAGGAAGCTGAAAAACTTTGGGACTGAAAGCCTGAAGGTTCAATCAAAATGGTTGAATAACTTAATATACTGTTGTAGCGCATCATAAAAAGATTTTAATAAGTTTTAATAAGCTAGCAAAATGCTAAGCTAGTACACAAAGCTATGAAATGCATCCTGGACCAGAAAGGGAGCATGTGTGACTGCCTTAAAACCTTCTCTGCACTTCTGACCTTCACAATGCCCAAGCATGGTGAGTTACTGCACTATATTCCCATTGGACACTTTATTTTTGACTTTCCATGTACATTTTTACTCCCTGTCTGTCTTTGTTTACCTTGCCACCACAATTACAAATTAAAATGAAATGTCATTGTATGACTTTATTCTGCAGAACACAAAATAAGATATTTTGAAGAATGCTGGAAACCAATATTTTGGTTACCATTGACTTTCACAGTTTTGAAAAAAAAATTCTTCTTATGCTCTAAAGTAAGAATGTCATGCTGGTTTGTAGCAACACAAGGGTAAGTAAATAATGACAGAATTTTCTGTTTTTGGCTGAATCTCTTCAAAACAAGTTAACAGAGCCTTAGTCTTCCCTGAATCAACATGAATGCTGTTTTTGTCACATTTTGTGCCAGTTTAAGTTTTAATTAGGGTTGGTAGTAGCTTATCGGTTAATGATCTGTGCTGCTGACACAAAAATCTCAAAAATAGGTGACCCAGGCGCCAGAGTTACTGCAATCACAATCCTGGTACTCATACATTGTGCTCCTAATAAAGACCCCATACAACACACACACAATCCTGGAAATTCCAGCGCTAAACAGGAAATGGAATCCAGCCCCACCAAACGATACAAATATAATTGAAATCTGGAGGGAATATATGTTCTTAATATTCACTGATTGGTTACGCATAACAGGGAAAGGGTGTGTCAAGCTAATTTGAGGCAGAAAAATACCTCTATATTTATAGACACAAATAACTAAATATTGATAATGAATTGAAAATGCACATTTCCATTCAAAGGTCTACTAAACTAAACTCCAGTATCTCAAATCATGCATAATTCAGGTAAATCTACCACTTCATATTTTACATATACTGTGCTCGCTTTTGTAAAATGTAATCAGGAAGAATATTCTGTCCTGGCTTTAGAACCCCTGTTGTTTTATCCATTATTTAGCACATTAGAGCAATTCTTTTATTTACTTACTTTTATTTAATTACTTGATACAGACAAATGTATATGGATGAGTTCAAATAAAACACTTCCTTCAGGCCTGTGAGTGTTTTAAAAATACAGCACTGAATGTTTTATATATTTATGAGTTGCTTTATGCATGTCTCTGTGTGTGTGAGAATGCAGTAAGATGGGTCTAGACTCTAGAGAGTTTATGAATCATCAAAAAACAAGAAATTATTTCATAGTGATGTCATACGATCATGGAGGGAAAATGTTATGTCATACAAATAGCATAAATATAGAGACTAAACTGAGTAGAGTAAAAATGTATGTTTGTGCTGTTAAATGATTATGAGTAGAATTTCTAAATTGTTTAAACGCATAATGCTAGGAATAGATTTAAGATATATCTACTATGCATTAGTTTAAAAGGCCCTAAACATATCCAAGTAGGCACCAGAATATAATAGAAATCCTCATGTGGACTCTTTTTTTTCACTTGGCCCATGCCAAAACAACCACCCTGAATACTCTAGCAACGTCCTAGAAACCATTAAGAATGCCTTATACCGAGAATATTGTCAGGCCAATTATAATGTTGTGAATTTTGCATCTAGTTACAGACAGTAGTTTCAGCAAACACAACCATACACAAATACTGTAGCTTTACAAACACAGACTGTCAACACTCACACAATGCAGTCCCCATAAATGGAGTGCCTGCACTCCCTCCCATCACCATTTATCTAGGTGGACATTTAAAATGTGCCTGCCAATGTACTAGAATAGCCTAGAGAATTCTGTTAGTTTTTCTTTTAAAAATATCCTAGCTCACAATTTCTTACTCTTGCATGGAGGCTCTTTCGTTCTCCATGTATCATGGATGCCTGTTGAAGAGAATGATGTAATCAGGATGGGTGTGACCTGGTTGCTATAGCGACAGTCTCATCCAGAGCTGCTGTAACCGCGAATGAAGATAAAAACAGCCTCAACTCCGTTCCGTGGCAAACGGAGCCTAATCTAACGACACAGCGGGGTTACCATATCAGCATTACTATGAAGCAGACAGACCACCTGCCATCCCTCATCCCAATACAGATGCCTCTCCCCTCTTCTCTTTGTCCCACCGGCGCAGAGACAGAGGCTTCATGTAAAACGCAAAACCTAATACACGCTCAAATATACAGCATAAAACACACAAGACGTTGTAAAATGAGTACCATAAAACACGGTTTTATACAGACAAACACGAAATCTGTACCCTGCCCTCTCCAGCTGCTCCAGGTGCACTCTTTCTTCCCTTTATCCATTTCTGTCGTTTCTCTCGCTGCTGTCGTCTTTCTCTTTTCCCTTTCGCAGATCTTATATCTTCCCGAGACCCACTATCTCAAGCGTCCAAACAGCATGAATGGCCAGAAAGGAGAGAAGAGAGCAGAGGAGAGACAAGCTAATGCTACTCAGTGAGGAAACGGAGAAAGAGAAAGAGAGGGAGAGTTGCTGCTCTGCTGGATGAAACAGCAAACACTGCAGCCTCCACCGCAGAGAGCGGAGCGAACCATATGCAACGCCCGGGGCGTGATGGGGGGGATTCAGATCAAAGAGGCCCCACCCTAACAAAGCTAATACATAAACATTAGCGAGGTGCGTACGACTTCATGCGGTGCTGCGTAGACCGATCGGCGGCTGACTTGAAGCAGTGCATGCCGGTTAGAAATTTTGTCCGACTTGAACCGGCGCCACGTTACTGTCACGTGTAGCATCAAAGTTTCAAGAGCAGCCGGCTGACTCAGCTTTTTCAGAGCAGGCTTGTTTGAGATGAGCAAAATCTGCTCAGAACCAATCACCGCGAGTTATGACCGACTTGCTCTGATGTCATGCTGACATGTGCCAAAAAACTCTCAGGACGGCTAGGCAGCTGTGTCGGATTGTGCAGTCGAGCGCAGTTGCTCTCCACCGACTGCGCTTATCAAAAGCATGATGGGAAACGATCATAGACTTTATAAAAACATGGATGTATTATCCGTGACGTCACCCGTAGGTTTCAGAAGAGCGTTTTTGAAGCTCAAAGTGGGCAGAGCCTGTCATCGCCATCTTGGCAGCACGTCACAGCGCGTCACTCCCGGATAATCGAAAATGGGCAAAGAGGCGGAAGCTGGTTGCTGAAACCACGCCCACCTAGCTCGCCGGTGACAGCAGCGGCAATCCACCTGTCACTCAAGTGGCCACGCCCTTAATTATGCAGAACTTTAAGGCTTAATATAATTTAAACGGATGAGTTATAAAAAAATTCACCCCCTCACAGTTGTCATGAAGGCCAAAATTAGCTATATAGACCAACACCACTTTTTGTACCAGGCTGTAAACATATTTTTTTCTGCTGTAAAGTTGGGCATTTTAACATGGGGAGTCTATGGGACTAGTCTCGCGTAGCCAGACCTTCAGACTGACGGCTGAAGGTCTGGAATTCATGGCAGCTTTCATTGGTCAAGGCCCGCCCATGAGGTCGTTTGATCGACATGTCAAACAACCAATCACAGTTCATTTCGTTTCAGCGTCACGTTTCGGGGCGTGGAAATGTCGCCACAATAACAGACCGGTGTGTAAAACTCTTGGAT